CGTTATGTATATACAAGCTCTGCAATAGTTTACCATAAATAATTTCGATCCATCACCAATACGAGCACACGCGGGTTCTCAAACTTTGTGTCGAATATAATTAATATGTATGTATATTCCGATGAACTTTTCCAGTTACCTATATGCAAATTTCATACATGCAGGTATATAGGTATAGGTACCCACAGCAAATTCGCCTCTCCTCCGAAATGAATATACATATACACATATGAATCTTAGTTCAGGTATAACTACACAGGAATGACCAATAATCACTACGGTTTTTTTTTTTCATTCAGGAGGTGAATAAGCTCAACTTTTTGTGAAAAGACCTGCACAGACGTAGAAGAGAGGCAAATGAAGGTACACGGTGGTTCTCTGACCACATACAGTTAAGGGCTGAGTTGATAGGAGAGACGAGTATACAGGGACAGCAGAGGTAATGGACACGGAGCTTGGGAGGCGATAGAGCGCGGGCGTGGGTGTATAAATATCGCGAATCGTGACGCAATCGTTTAGTTCGTGCTGGCAAAGGTGTACACGATATATATGCGGGCGTATGTATGCATGTATGTATACCTGATGTGGATACGATGACGATGATATTGTGCAAAATTGTATATATATATGTACACGAATGGGCTTAGCAGTGGTGGACTGGTGGTGGTGGTGGATCGTTATTGTTTCTGAATGGAAAAGAGGACGACGCCGTCGCGAAGTTTATTATGTATATATGGGAAGAGAGAGAGAGAGGGGCAGAAGGGAGAACGAGAGGAGAGATAGAGCAGAGCTTTATTTCGCGCTCTAGAATTGCTTAAGGTTAACGTTCCGAGTGGCTGGCTGATGGCGCTTACATGCTAAGCTGCTCGAAGCTGCTGCTGCTTTGTGTGTGTTTCTCCATATAGCTCTGTACTTATTTTATATACGTATTTGTGTGTGTATCCAAGTACTCCTCCACTTCTACTGTATACATATATATATATATACAGGCCAAGAGCATAGTCACACAGCTGCTGATGTCGAGTGTTTTTGCTGCAGTTGCGCTAATTTTTTCTTTCGCACCCCTCTTTGTGTGTATGTGTGTTTTATATACGTGTGTCCGTCTTTGTCTGCCTGTCTTTCTCTCACTCCCTCGGCGAGGCACCGATTCATATCGTTGATTGCGCGCTTTTGTTCCTCCGCTCAAGAATTAATTCTTTAGTCGACGTTGCTGCTTGCTCGGTTTTTTTTTTTTTTGTTTTTCATGAATTTTAATTTGCGCAAGTGCTGAGGGTTTCAAGATCCCTGTGCTGTTTTTTTTTTCTTTTCTTTTTTTTTTTAAGGACTAAACGGGGAAATTATTTTTCTTCTTGAATTGCTCTGTGTATACACTTACCAGGTGAATATTCATTAGCACCACGGGCAGGCATTGTGCGCAACGCTGAAAAAACCCAAGTGTCTTATAGCTGAGCTTAGTTGTACGGTCATGTACAGTGATGTATCTCGTTTTTTTTTCTCTCTTTCTTTTCGTCCAATCCTATTGTAATAATATAAGAAAAGTGCGTGCGCGTAGAGAGAGGGAGAGAGAGTGCCAATCGATTATAGGCGCCACAATATTGTTGAACTTTGCGATATTTTCACGATTGGGCAACAATTGGCTGTATCGAGTTACTGGTTTTCTTTTCTTTCATACTACACAATCATTGCAGCTCAAGAGAACCTTCTCCCTACCATCCTCTTCCACTGTCGCTATTTTTTTTTTTTTTAGAGAATCCGTATCCTTTTATTTATCAGTACTCACCAGGAAGTGTTTTGAGGATATATCTGTATGGATTATTTCATTAAACTACAAAGTGGGATAGAGCACAAAAAAAGTTTCATCGAGACCTTGGAAAATCTCAGAAAGACATCTAATTGACAGTAAGCTGCTCAGGCATTTTTATTTAAAAGACATGAATTTCAATTGATACATATTTTACGTACTGTACGGATAGTGCAATTTGCACATGCAAACGTTGCGAAGACACGATGGGTACTGTGACTTTGGGCAGTTGAGAGTGCAGTCGCCGGTCGTCCCGCATTTTGCTGCAATCGAAACACATGATATCATTTTTATTAAAAGTAAAAAAAAAAAAAATACGCAATTTGCACCCGTTTCACTTGCATTCGTTATTAACGTGCAGGTGAGAAAGAACGATTCGCTCCACTCCATAAAACATTCCGGACTAGTCAAAGCGCTCAAGCTCGCGCTTACGCAACAGCTGTGAAACTAAGCCAAATGAGTTACAGGCTACAGTAAAAAGTAAAAAATTACGAGCCAGAGCGGGGAGCGAATCAAGATAATAGTAAGGGAAAAAAAAAGAAATGTCCATTACACAATCCATCATAAAACACACGCAGCTAAACGCAAATAACGGAGCACAATGAACGTCTAGTGCCAACAGAGTGAAAAAAAAAAAAAACAACCCGCACCCTTTCATTGTACCAGCGCCCACAGCTTATAAGCTCTCGCGTCTAACAACAATGTAAGAGAAAAAAAAAAAAAACTACGTAGTATACCTTTCGGATATCGCCCCGGATTTGCTGTCGAACTGGTGCGAAAGAGGGACCGATCGCCTTTGGTCGCCGGTGGCGTCGCCGGTTGGGATGTCGTCGTCTTATCGGCCGCGTGGGCGACTCTGCTGCACTGAGTCAGCCCGAGGACGATGATAACCAGCAACGATAGCCGGACGCTTTTCATATTTCTTTTACTCGCGAAATCTCACATCCGAACTCGTCCAAAGCCACGCGTGGACTGCCTGGACGAGTCCGCTTTGGCGACGTTACTTTTTAAAAATTATTATTATTTTTTTTCGTTGTCGAGATTTTTATCTGCCTCTCCGAGGGGAAGCGGAGCCGCGAAAACTCTGACACGCACACGGTGTATATACAAGTGACTACTTTCCTCGACTGTCGCTCTGTTATGAACACAGATGGTAAATTTCGATTGTAATTTTATGTCTTTAAGCAGCGGGAACTCTGTCGAATCCAACTAACGCGATATTTACTTACGCAGCAGTGATTTTTCAATTACGAAAATTACATCAATCCCCATTTGGGTCACGTCAGTCTAAATTGTACACCACGTCGTCTTTCATTTTACTCCAAAGTTTAATTGGCTCGAAATTTCGACGGCCCCGACCCATACAGTGAAACTTTGGACCTCGAGAGCAAAGACAAAGCCGATGCCGAACAATAAATCCCACTTACGTGTATGTGTCCATGTATGGAGCCGTATAATCTCGTCCCCAACAACTAAGTATCCTGTAGCTCCGCTAAAATGCCAATGACCGGCAAACCCATCTCCCCTGCTTTCTCGGGCGTACATGTGTACACGATCTCATACCGATTTCGTCTCGTCTCGTATACATAACGAACTCTCGTGTCCCACCTGAGCGTATAAGCGGTGTTGTGTACATTATTGATGGTTGTTTTCCAAGATTAGTTCAGCTCGTGTACCAACTGAGAGCTCAACCGATCTGCCGAGCGCTCCAAGCTCGATTGATACACTCCAATTGGAAAAAAAGAAGCGATCCGTTTCGCGTATTTGCACAGAAGATATAGTGTCCGAAGTTCATGGGCTCTCTTCTTTGGCAATGATATAAAAAAAAAAAAAAAAAACTTTGGAGATTCGATTCGAACGAGCGTTTAATTAACGAAACTCGCGTCAGCTATGGACGATTATTTTTTTCGTCGATTCGGCTACTCTTCCCGCTATTTCTACGCTCGAACGGGTTATTGGGTTCTTCGGCGATTCATACAAATCGCGAATTATACATTTGGCACGGGCTCGTGCCAAGTGTCTTTTTGCTCGTACATTATATATACACAGAAAAGGGGGAGGGGCGTTTGATTGGGCGCGAATACAATGTATCCGATGTGGAAGAATCGGACGGGGACGTATAATAGTGCGGGGGCCATTAGTCGGTCGGTGACATATTTCCGACCCATCGGATTCTCCACCTTCCCCATCTACGCACATGGGCCGATGGTACTATGAACCTGACGTAATTTCATCGCCCCGTAAAAAACTCGTGACAAGCTTCGTTCTCTCGCTCTCTTTACGCATTATCATCATCATTTCGTTGGACAATACGCCATCACCACCTCGTTGAGACAATTACTCATTTGTATAACGGAGCGCGATAAGTAATCACGTGTTAATCAGGCACCCCATTGATGTAGCTGACAAACGAGCATCGAGTGCTCTTGGCTTGGTTTATTTTTATTTGTCCTCAAACGAACGCACCGATTCAACGGCAAATGACGCCCACGTCCAGGAGCTTAGTGTCCCACCTATGGGCAACCCCTAAACAAAAAAAAAAAAACAAAAAAAGAAAAAGAATCCACCACCATCGTCCACATACTGTACAAGTCGTGTTTTTCCATCCGCCCCTTCGCTTGGGATGTGTTTACGTAGTGTGGTATTATTCTTACGATGGTGATGATAATGAGCTAACGAGAATAAGATCGACAATAGCTCTTTGTTACTGGAAGCCCACAACATATAATATATTGCCAGCACGCGCATATCTGTTTAAATACATTGTATACGTGTGTATGGTATCGGTGGGAAATGAGAAGACGCTATAATTAAATTTTGGGTATCTCCGGTTACGCTCTCGTTACTAACAACTTCATCCACGTGTGCATACAGATTATAGTTTTGCGTCGTTTGCGTGCGTGTGTGTTACCTACCTACATGTTTGACCGTCAAGTCTCATCCTCGCGTGAGAGACGCACTGCCGAGGGCGTGATCTAATTATCGCGTGTTACATTGTTACATGGCAGATTCACGTGACGCGCGTGTTTGTGGAAATGCGAGAGTTGGTTAATCAAGCGAGCAACTCTTGCACTTGTAATTCGAGTACGGTATATTTACGCCGAGATTGACACTGCTGTGCGCAAAGTGGAATCATATAATAATTGTAAAAAAAAAAAAGAAATAAATAAATAAATAATAATAATATATTGTACGGAACAAGAATTTTGTTTAAATGGTTGATTATTGGTGAAATTGTTGCAGAAGTGAAGAAGAAGAAGAAGGAAAGCATAGCTTAGGATGTCTTGACAAGTAAGAAGGGGCGCGTACCTCGCACGGGTTGACCACTCGGCCGGCCATTGAGGGGCCTTGCTCGATAAACCTGAGAAATGGCGGTCGGCCAATTATTCACGGAGCAGTACCAGGTGCCGCCGCTCGCCAAGATCTTCCACGAGTTTCCCCACTTCAATGTCACGCTCCACATCATCAACAATACCTTCAATCCGCACTCGGAGATTTACATCGAGGTGAGTTACGTCATACCTATACATCTGTTTTTTTTACACGCACTTTCTTGGGAATACACATTTTAAATATATACTTAGCCAAGCCCCTACATAAATCATCTTGATCGTATAGGCTTGAAGGAATAAAATTCGTAGTTAGTTTTAACTAAAATTACAAATTAAAAAAAATAGGTACATACCTTTCTTGGGCTGACTTTTTAGGTGCGCGTCAACATAAAAAGGTCCTTCCTTGCGCTATCCATGTCACATATAGCGTATACTATAGCCGTCGTCTACGTCGCGTTGCTCCTTTTTCCCTTCCATTGCCGAGGAGGAGCGCTCTTACTCTCCGAAATTAGATAGTACATGAATACACAAAGTGTACAATACGTCAAAGAGCACAATGGTGTCGCACATACTTGTGTATATAACATACAGCATATATAAATTCGCAAACAAACGCACAACATAATATGCACGCGAGAGATAACGGGGGGGAGAGCTGTTATATTATACGGTAAACGTTATATACATGCTTCGTGTGTCGCCGAGGAAAAGCTCGGTCAGAAAGCAAGTATGCAAACATTGCAAGCTCGCGTGGACGGGAAAACCCTCGGCAATGTGTGCTGCGCGTATATATATTAGACGCGTGGACACTCGCAAGCGCGAAATGGAGGGGAACACCATCAGAGATCTGTCGTCTCTTCCTTCGCCAAGTGCACCGCGGAAAACACGCGTCGTCCGTGTGCGCGTGCATTTTCTCATAAGTTCGGGTTTCGCGTATTGTGTACCACCTACACACGCATACCCATACACGTATATCCTTCTCCGCGCGTTTTGTCTCGCGTGCCGTTTGTTGTCCCAGAGCCCAAGAGAGAGAGAGAGTGGGAAAAAGGGTTCGCGCTTTCTCTTTGTGCACCGCGGCCCACAACGCAACGACAAAAGCCAACAGCTGGCCGACGCCGCGGTTTTTTTTTTTTTTTTTTTTTTTTTTTTGCTTTTCGTATACGGGCAGCCGGGCTCTTTGGCACGCGCAATACATTTTTGCTTTGCCGCCCTCCCCCCCCCCCCCAACAACCACATATTGTATACATATACACCGTTCGCGTGCGGTGGATGTTCTCTAATGGGATCGGAGCTTTTTTTTTTCCTGCATTGGAGCAAGAGAAGATCTTATTTTTGGTAGGTTGATACGCGCAGAAGTGTGGGAAAGGTTTGGGTTTCCCGAGATTGGATCCCTAATGGATTTTCCCTTTGGAAGATGAGTATCGCCTCCCCCGACGCCAAAGGATAATTAAATCCGAGCTTTCGTTTGCCCGGCGCTTTCGCCGAGGTGTCGGAAAACTCTCTTTGGCTTTCCACCCACCCCCACCCCTTTTCGACCTCTTGGGCTTACCTCTTGCACCCAAAGAGCTTTGCATGGTCAGTTTTGACGAGTTTACAGGCTTTTGCATCAAATGTATACATATAATGGGTCTTTTTTTTCTTTCTTCAAGTATAACATATTAATACATTTTCCGAGGCTTCATGATGATTTTGGACACGTGTGTACCCATACCAATGCGCGTGGATAAATTAACTTGTTGGGATTTGCAGCTCGAGTGTATATAGTCATTCTTGCTAAATACCAGCAGTTGGATAGTCCACTCCCGCACACCTGCCCGGGCCAAGTTGTTGTTGTTGTTGTTTTTTTTTTTTTTTTCATTCTTCACTTCGTCCCTCCCGTGCTGGAGAGAGATTTCTAAAAGGGCCGAAAAATTACAACCCATGGTACGTACCTCTGGCGATGGCACTTGGAAAATACCACTCAACGTCCGCGGCTATACGAAAACCCGTAGGGTATAATATATGTACAAAAGGCGGCTCTCGAATTTGCATGACAATAATCGCGAGCGAGCCAACGGGGTGCATATATACATTCTTCCCTCCCCAACTCTCGGGCATTAAATGGAAAAACAATACCTTATACTTCTATAAGTATACATTCGTGTGTGTGTATATATACCTCTTCAATTTCAACTTCACCTTCGTACACCTATACGTGTGTGTGTGTGCACATTTATATACATACGTATATATATATACACATGCAACGTTTTCCTTTCTCTCTTTTGCGCAAGAGGTATAGTGTATTATATATATATAGAGAGAGAGAACGACCTCTATCGCGCTCTCAAGCGCATTCCAGCGGAGCGCCTGTATATAATACCCCGGGTGCACTAGCTGCTCGTGGTATATATATATATAGGTACTAATCTCTTGATCTCGTTCTCTCTCTCCGTACTTCCTTTCTGCCGCGCAACAATTCATATCCCCTTCCGCCCCCTCGTCCTTTCTTTCTTTACTTTGTTCCATTTCGAATTTTACTTCGCCCTTGGCAAATATTATATGTATATAATATAGGTAATATGGTCTTGGACGATGAAAATCCTCGCGGGGGGTTTTTATCCTTGTGTGATTATAGCATTGAATAATTTTCGAGAGAAAGGCGGGATGGAGGGCGTACGATTCAATGCACCTTCTGTTGCGTCATTTTCTCCTCGTTATAAATTAGGTGAATGTATGTATATACACGTTCAAGGAGTAGAAGGTACGTGGCTTTGCTTGTTTGCATTTTCAAGGGACAGAGACTTTTCTTTTCTTTCCTTGACCCAAGCTTTCCCTGTGAAGTAAACGAACAATGTAGATGGTGTGTTATATTTTTTTTCATTAAAACAAAAAAAAAAAAAAAAAAAAAGGAAAAAAAGAAAACGTCCCTCGGTTTGGGCAAGGGGGAGGACAACGCCGGGAGAATAATTAATTTTTCATTCAATTATAGAGTCCCCTATCACCGCTCTCTCTCTCTCCCGCCGTCATCGTCCCCGAGAGGTTGTCCCTCATTTCCCAAGAAAGCACGTTTTCCTTCCTTACTGGAAAAAAGGCAAAAAACCGCGCTCGAAAAATCAACCCCCTCCCCCTGCCTGCTCTTGCACCCAGGCGAAAGTCAATTTCAATTACGCCGATCATTTTCCGGTACGCCGAAGAGAGCTGAAGCGCCCGAGGCTGTGCTCCTCGCAAATATACGTGTAGTACGTCGACGTCGTCGTCGTGGAACTAAAAGCTGCGCCCACCTCCGCTCGACCCTCCTTTTGGGAACTTGAGCGAGTGAGGGAGTGCCAAAGGAGCCACTCGGGAGCGACGCGTCACTACGACGACGATGCTACGGCTCGGCTGCAGCGTTTTCCCGATGGCGCGTCTTTTTCATGTTTATATTTTTCTCTCTTTTTGTTTGTTTGTTTTTTTTTTTTTTTTTTTTTTACATCCAATTTCGTTCAAATTGGTAAAACGTGTTCGCAAAACGAGCACGAAAATTGTCTCTACAAAGCCCTTTTCGTTGAAAATTGTCGCAAAGAACAATTAAATTGAGAAGCCCGAACGAGTCTCGCAAATGATTCGCACACCCATCCGAGCAGGAGAAGAAGAAAAAAAAGACTACCAAGAAGAAAGTTCTCTCAAGTACGCGTATACGCGCTTTCGTTGAGTCTCATAAATATACTTGCTCACTGTGTAGTCTCGCGGACTGTGACAATGTATGTATACGAAACGAGAGTAAGTAGAAAGAGATGAGGCAGCGAAGGAAATTCGATGGCCTACTGAGGGGCGTACGAGGCGCGCGCACGGAGGAAAGAAGGAAAAAAGAACGGCGTATCGGAGCCGATAGAGCACCACTGCGTTTCCACTCGCGTGGATCCTTTGCCCCCCCCCCACGCTTATCTCGTCGCTCTCGAGTTTGCTTTCTTATCACCCCCCAGCCGGTCCAATATAACTCTCGCGACATAAGCTCCCAGAGAGTGTTATTTACGACATCCATGGGATGACTTTTTTCTTCGGACAAAATGGCACAGAGGGCGAGCTAAGAATCGCCATCGCACACCCCCTACGTTCGACGCGTTAACCAAAAATCCTGCTTCTTTCATATGCGAACCTCCTTGCATTCATTTGTAATCAACGCACATATTACCCATAAGCCTGCCGCACAAATTCAATTTCAGCTCAATTTTTTAATCAAGTTATAGGTAATGCACAACGTAAATGCGCTTGATTGCCATCAATTCGTCGTCGTTCGATCGTAGGCGATCGTTTCAACTTGTGCGTCCATGTGTATACATACATATATACGTACCTAATATATTATATATGAAGATGATGCAGGCTCTCTACTGTATGCGTATATATATACATGCTCGTCCCAAAGAGGAAATGGACCATTACCAATAGCCTTAATTACAATTAGACGGCACAACTGCAGTTTATATAATATATATGTACATCGGTCTTTCGGCTTATCATCGGTTTGTTTCGTTGTACAAAGGACAGATAAAGTGTATGGCACGCCGGGTTGCACTGTTGGGTTTTTGCGCGCTTGATGCATACATATAATATACAGGGTATATAATTGCGACAGTTGTGCAGGTACAAAAAAACAAAAAAAAAAAACCAAAAAAAAAAAAAAAAAAAAGAAACAACAAACTTGCAGAGCCTCGGCATCCTGGGCAGCATACCAGCGGCTCTGTTGATCCTGACGCTGTTGGTTTTGCTCGTGTACCTGGTGACGCGATGCTGCGACCGAAAGCCCCGACACCGGCGCTCGATCGCCCTGTTCAAGTGTTGCCTGGCGATACTGGCGATACTCTGCTGCGGTGCCGTCGCCGTTGGCCTCTACGGCAACGACGACGTCCACAACGGCGTCGTCCAACTTGTCGCTGCGGCCAAAAACATCGACAACTCCATCGTGGCTGTTAAGAACCAGGTGAGACACATATATATGCGTATGTACATTGTATTACTAGCTCATACCTCGCCCAAAGTTTACCCCGTTTGAGGAGCTTTTTTGCGCTTGGTTGAGCTTTAACACGTATCGCGCTCCCTGCCTTTTGACAAACTATAAGCACAACACTTTTATCTTGTCGATGAGATATCAATAAGGGTGTGTAATTATAGTCTGTCTAATTGCTGTCTCTATATTTGGTTCGAGTGGGGGTGAGGGAGGGGGCGCTTAAAAATACAAAGCCCATGCCGGCGCTGTGAATTTATACCTCAACTTGGCGAGGCTATTTCGGCGCGAGCTATAAATATGTGCGTGTACCTGCTTCTACGCGGGGTCTGGGATCAAGGGCTTGCGTTTAAAATANGCCGCATGCATGCAACACGCTGTATACACTTATCGTACTAACTTTTGGATAATATTGTTAAAACGCACGCGTTGCCGAGGAGGACTATTACATAATACATAATATTATATACACAGTACATGGCGTCCCAAAAAAAAACAAAAAAAAAAAAAAAAAAAACCACCTAAAATCCGTTAAACAACGACTCATCGAAACATCGTTATGGCCGTCGTTACATTCCCCGAAAAAAAAAAAAAAAAAAAAAAAAACAGACGGAGGCGATAGAGCTGACGCTGAAGCGCAAGGTGCTCAACGACCTGATAGACCTCGGCGACAAGTTCGACTCGCCGGTGAGCAACAAGACGATGTACGCGGCGTTGATGGAGGCGCTCAACTCGATGAGGCTGAACACGAGCTTCGCCGCGAATCGCAGCTACGAGATACGCAAGCCGCTGAGCGGCATCAGCCTGGCCGGGGCCGTGGGCCTCACCGAGCGCGTCGAGCAGCTCAGGTGGCCCGTCACCATGGCCGTGCTCAGCGCCCTGCTCATCCTCTGCGTGGTCCTGCTGGTCGGCGTCGCGCGACACTCGAGATGCGCCCTCATCACGTGAGTCCCAATCTCCACTTGTTTCCACGTGCACACGCCGATCGAGGATCGTGCAAATTTTCTTTATCGATGCTCCCACTATTTTTCAATTCATCATACGAACAGTTAATGTACAAGTAACCGATTTCCACGTAGGGAGCTCTCTTTAAAGCGAAAGATTTCCACGTTTCGAAAAAAAAAGAAAAAAAAAAAATGCATAATGTCGAGCTTAGGTTCTCCGTGTTTGGGCTGTTCGCGGTGATAACCTCGTGGCTGATGGCGTCGGTGTACCTGGCGAGCTCCGTGGCCCTGGGCGACCTCTGCGTCTCGCCCGACGGCTACGTCGGCAAAACCGCGCGCTCCCAGCTCGCCGCCGAGGTGCTCTCGTACTACACCCACTGCGAGAACGCCCGCACGAACCCCTTCACCCAGCAATTGCGGGACGCCAGACAGTCGGCCAATTACACGCGCCGGAGCCTAGAGACCGTCAAACACCTCGCCGACAAGCTCTTCAAGGACCAACAGCTCCAGCCGAGGTTCGACGGGCTGGCCAACAACGTCAACACCGTCGACAAACAACTCGCCAGTCTCACAGCCTTCCTCGACTGCAAACCCTTGCACAAGCAGTACCTCCACGCCGCCAAGAGCCTCTGCCACTTGGGCCTGTGAGTACAATAAGCTTAGCTCTTTTTTTTTTTTTTTTTTTTCCCCCTCCTTGACTTTACGACTCGTACTTTGCAGATTCGGACTGACGCTGATGCTCGCGGCGAGCGTGGCTGCCGGCTTTTTGTTCACGATCCTCGTCTGGGTGGACTCTCACACGTGGATTTACATAAGAAAACGGTATAATCCCCCATCCGGCTGATATAATTCAATATGTATATAATTGTCGATGACACCATATTATATGTATATATAATGGTACGTGGGTGTGGTTCGGCAGGAACGATTATCACCAGGTGAACGAGCAGGACCCGTACTTGCCGCCGTCGGCGGCCTCGCAGGCGATAGCAGCCCGGACGCTAACACGAGGCCAAGGGTCGTACCCGCCTACAGCCCCTCCTCTTAATCCGAATGCTCATGGCAATCATACAATTAAGCAGCCTCTATTGCTAACGCCGCCCCCGCCGTCTTACGCTACTGCGACAGCCCGCGCACGTCAGATGCACGAGAGCATGTCCAAGTTTGTGCATGATCATCATTTTTTTTTACCCAATTTTATCCATACCACTGCCCTCCTCCTCGTCCATCCCGATATTCTTCCTTTTTTTTTTTTTCTTCTTTCTTTTACTCCTCGATGATTCCCACCCGTCTACCTACACCGAGAGGAAAATATTGTGACGTTGAAACGTCCCTCGTCGATTACGTGACATTTTTTACCATTGCATTGATCAATCGTTTAAAGGGAATTGTTTTCGTTTTTATTTTGCAGTTTAATTGGATAACGGGACGATTGGTGTAGTCGACGTCGATAAATACTTGAAACGTTGTCGATAATATTTTCCTCGTTTATTTTACTTTTTTTTTTTCTTTTTCACAAAGTTTACCGAGTTTTCGAGCAACAAGTTTTAGATAAATAAATTTCCATAACTTGGTAAACTGTGTGAGCATTTTTATTTTATCAGATAATCATACCAACATAATTAAATTAGCTTGGCAGTTTTTAAAATTATATTGTTCATACAGAATTTTTAATATGTATGTGAGCTAGTTTTTAAGTATTATTTTTATATAAAAAAAAACAATTTAACTTGTGCTGCTAAAAATATATTTTTAAATAATATTACAAAATTGGTGCGCTTCAAACTGCTGTTAGTGTTCGTTATATATTTGTATTAGAGCAAAAGGTAATGTTTCACTCAAATTTTACACGTTTGTTTTTTTTTTGTTTTTTTTGTTTTTTTTTGTTTTTCAATTTTAATTTTCGGTTAGCAAAGTTTTTTGAATTATACTGCAACTCTATTTTTTCATCATGTACATGATCGTTATTAATGTTCGCTTCATTGTATATTTTTATACATTTTATTGTTACTCATATATTCGTATTGAGAAATAGAACCTACATACTTTCTCTCAAATAAAATTGTATTCAATTACATGAACAAAGTGAAGATAGAAGAAACAGTTCTATTTCTTAAAATAATAGTTTCGTAGTGAGTTTCAAACGATTGTTCTTTCAAAAAATTTAATATCGTATAATATAAATATGTTGACGATATAATTTATGTTGACGAGTCATGCATTACGTTTCATCATCGCACAATTAGAAAGAAGTCTAGTGTGCTCGTTGTTTGTTTGTTTGTTTTTTTTTCTTTTTTTTTTTTTTCGACATTCTTCATAACATATTTAAATAATCACACGTCACAAAAAAAGATGGTCTGTAGGACCAGTTTTATTTAAATATCGTCAGTGTTGTTGCGAATGTTCATAAGATATCAATGATGTTTAGAAAAGTGTTTTTTGTTCTCTATATTAATCACGCAAAGCTCACAAACTACAAATTCATGAGAATAAAACAGTAGTACCTACATACATAATATACGTACACAAAAAATAGAAATATTTGGGTGTGTGATTTTGGAGATCAGTAACGCAAGGTAATCACTGAAATTCCAAACTTTCATTGGACATTATATTAATTTGTTACACTCTCGCGCGTGAGTTTGATTGATCATCAAAATCGCACTCTTTTTTTTTCTTTTTCTCGTAAATACATTACAGAACAGACGAATTAACTTTTGTGTACAAAACACTCACACTCTACAGCGGAAAAAAAAAAAAAAAAAAAAAAAAAATAGTCAAACGCGTTAATTAGTTGAGAACGACGGTCACGGTTGATCATATGTAAAACGTGAAATTTGGCAAATCCACAGAGGTGGGGGCATTAACGGAGCCGGGGATCACCACAAATCGAGTCAGCACAATCAGTCGTCGGGTGGCAGAGCCGACCACCACCATCGTTCCGGGCTCGGGGATCAGCCTGGCCAGTACGCGACTCTGAGCAAGCAATGCAAGACTCTGGAGCCGAACGACTTCTACTGAGGACACGCCCCCTCGGGACCGGGTACGTCACAATCCTTAACAATACATACAGTACAAGACGGAAAAGGGAAGAGAACATGGGTGTATGAACTGTTGTCGACGTCGAATTCTTAGGAAGAGATCCGCCGTGGGCGCCTTCGTTCACCGGCGGCACTCTGGCCCACAACTCTCACGGCTGCATGGGCGGCCCCCAGCAGCACCTAGCCACCTTCCAGGACTCTCGCAAGACCCAAACCCTCGACCCGAAGAACCTGGCCAACCTGAAGCGCGTGCCGACCCCCGCGTGGAACCAGACCGGCCGGCCTCTGCCCAATCCCAACATTGGCAACAACAGCTGGGACATCGAGTCGCGCTCGCAGACCAACATGAACCAGTTTCGCTCGCTCGTGCGCCAAAAGTCCAGCGGTGTGCGCATCCAGGATCAACAGCAGCAGCAGCAGCAGCAGCAACCACCGCCCCAGCAGCACCAGCAATCGATGCAGGACCAGGTGCGAACTCTGGACCGGAACTTCTCGCGAGCTCATCACCACGCGGGCAACGGATACGAGCCGAATCACTCGGTTGTGGGTGGAGGTAACGCGACCCAAGTGCCCAACATGTACGGCACGTACAACAGAAGGCACGAGAAGCACCACCACCAGCACCAACAGCAACAACAGCAGCAGCAAGTGTCGACGTTGAGCCAAGTGCAGGGCAGCGATCCCAACCTTTACGCCGTTACCGAGCTCTAAGGGCTTTTCGGGTGTCTATACTCTCCTTTTTTTTTTTCTTTTTCTTTCTTCCGAGGATAAAAGGGCAAAGAAGCGAGTCGTTGTGTGATTATCGAGCTTTCGTCCCCGCTTACGCGCCCGTTTTTTTCTTTCCGTACGTTAATCGAGAGGCGCGTAGGTGTGCGATAAGTGTATACTCGTTTTTCTTTCACTTCGGATGATTTATTTTCAGTGTACTTATATCCACATGACATTCCCAACTCATACGTTCGATAATAGCTTTTTGGTACGGAGGTAAAGAGAGAGGGGTGCCAAACCTTTGATAGTTTTGACAAATTTCTGGTACAACCATCGGTCATGTAGCGTTGGTTTTTGGTTCAACATTTTCGTGTCTGTATATGTTCAAATGATCAACTTTATTTTTTTTTTTTTCCAATCGCACAACGGCTCTATATACGAAAAGAAAAAATACAGAAAAAAAAAACAAACAAGTTTTGAATGAGTACTCGGTGTAACAGCGTATTTGTACTTTTATTTGGAAAATGTAGAGGAGAAAAATGGTGGTAGCAGGTGAGGGGCTTGGTGAAAAAAAAAAAAAAAAAAAAAAAATGATTTCCTTTAGTTCAGCGCGCGATAAGTTTATCAAACGAGCGAGAAACCAAAGAGAGAATGACGTGAGGGGGCATTTAAAACCTCGGATATTCAAGCAGAAAAAAAAACAAGAGTTTTTTTTTAAAAGTAAGTAATGGAATCTTTCAAAGCCTAAGAATTTTCATCGTAAGGATGAAAGGGGTGGGAAAAGGGGGATAGAAAATTTCAAGTAGGGATATTGTATTTGTATATCGTGTACAGTTTGTTTGTGCATTTATTATAATTTCTAGTGCATTACAAGAGAAAGAGGACTTTTTTCCCCGTGTATTATTATTTTCTCGATGTTGTGTTGATTTATACTTTTTAAATATTAATTAGTTTATAAAACCAACTTTAATATAACTATTTTATTTAAATAAGTATTTATATTTTATTTGAAATTTTATTGGATACACTATACAAAGTATGCATAATAAAACTATAAAATAATTAATGTTTGAAAAGTGCAGAAATGTATGATTGTAAGTAGTATAAGTATGAGTTCTTTGGGTTCTCCATACACATGTAAACTATATATGTACTTTGATATCGAAACGTTTATTAATAAGAATCATTTTTTTTTATAGTCTCATTTTTGTAAGATAATTTTTTTGTTTTTTACATCAAAAGGTATAACATTACTAAAAGGCACACCTTAACTTTGGTAATTGTTTTTTTTACGTGAAGAAAAAAAAGGCGATAACGATTTTGAACCCACATCAAAGGCGTACTAAAATGCAGTTTTTTATACATCTTTTTACACTTTAATAGAAATTTAATGAAAAAATAAGAATCGAACGATTAATTGCGAGCAACAATACAATGCACCCTTACACTTGTAGACCACTTGTATAAATTTAGTTGAAAGTTCGATGCGTTTATACATGTATTATTAATGTCAAAGCTACGATGAAATAACGAAGCCAAGAACGTTAAACACGTGTGTGATATAAAGATATACAGAAGTTTGATGCAAAATACAATTTATTTCAAAGTACTGTCTCCACTCCTTGAGTGAACACCCGTCTTAAGTACAAAGCCTAGGCTGGCTGATCCTTTTTTTTGTCTTTGTATGTATTTTATTTGTTTTTTCGAATGCGTTATTCAAAGAAATATGACGATGATGATAAAAATAATTATTGTACCCACGACTGATTGCTTTTTACAAAAAAAAAAAAAAAAAAAAAAATAAATAAATAAAAAGAAATTAATCTTTGTCTTACGTGAATTATAACAGCTATTTCACTATCTCTTGTGGCAATCATACTTCTATCGTTGATGTTGGCAGAGCCGCATATCACAGTTTTATCATCAACAATCATCAGTTTGCTATGTACGTAAATTAATTCGGTAACCATCGTCCCATTGAGCATCGAATGCGCTCTCAAGCCATGGAATGTTATGTATTCACTAGGATCATCGATACCCGCTTCCATCAGCTGATTGTAAATCGAATGTCTTCCTCTGAAAACGACACAAAATTTATAGTAACATGTACAAAACACTTATCATCGCTCGGAAGTAAATTTTAGTCTCTACCTCGATATGGAGGCGTAATTCCAATGCGTTATGGCTCGTAGAGCCGCGCCTGTTGGTCCACCGACTTCACCCTCAAAACCCGGAAGCAGAGGCATGATAACGAAAACTCTAAACACCGTGCCCTCTCGATGCGCCCTTAAAATCCTTTTTAACAATGTCTCACCAATTCGATTTTTAACAATTGAACCATCCAAAGTTGAGAGAGTGATGAAAAATTGATTCTCTATGTAGATAAACCTACCGAAAAACGAAGATTCCATACTCATTTTTCACCATTTTTATATTTTTGATTTTAAAGACTTACAAAAATAAAAAATAGAGTACCTCTCAGCTTTGGTGATGGCATGAATGTAAGCTTCGTGTATGCTCTGCTCGACAGTATCAGGCTCCAAAAATCCAGCCGACCAAGAGCTCACGGATCTCAACACTTGGCACTTGACACTTTTCATGGCCCCAATCTCGAATCGAGGCACAAAATTTTCGCAGTCCTTGTAAGATTTGGGCAACAGAAACGGATAGGTGGCGTTTAACTTGGCTTTCTCGGTCTTGATGGCGTTCCACCTTTGGATAAAGTGTCTCGCTACGTCGCGAGCGCTCGCACCCTGGACCATGACGCCGACGTCATGCCACGGCATTCTTGGGGTGGTACTGCGGTCGACCAGATCCTGGTATGGACTTTCCAGGTTGTTGAAGTCCTGGACGATAAAGTTCACGTAGTCCTTGCCCAGCCAGAGTTTCGCCCCAGCGCTCGGCACCTCGTCAACTTGGTCAGAGTCTTCCAAGCTGGGGTATAAACTCTCCTCGACTTCTATCGCTGCCAAGGCTTTTGCGCTAAAATTTGTTTCTTTATTCAGAGTGAATTGAGTAAATATTACTTAAACTTAGATTCATTCGATTTTGTGTAAGAAAATTTAAAAATAAAGAAAGAAAATTAAACCATATCAGTAGAATCTCTATACTTTTGAAGATCAATTTTCGGGTGAAAGATAAATTGTAAACTTGCCGCAAACAGCACAAACAATGTCAACTTTTTATCTTCTATTTATGTGATTAGTTGCGGCTGGTTTATAACAAATAAAGTGACTTTACTGTAAATGGCTATAATTATTTGGATCAGCGCCATCTAGCGGTCTTGATTTTTTGGCCAAAAGTGGCCTCTAAAATTCTCAATCAGAGCAATCAGGCTTAGAGCTATTTAGGCAATTATAAACCAGCCGCAACTCATGATAAAGCTATAAAATGAAAAAATAACAGTACATGTGTTTTGGGCGGCAAGTTACTAATTTATTTCCTACCAAAAAATCGACCTCCTATGTATTTATACTTTTGATGATAAATTTTCGAGCTTAAAAAAAATTGTTAACTTGCCGCCAAAAACACATGTATCGTTATTTTTTTATTTTGTAGCTTCATCATGAGTTGCGGCTGGTTTATAATTGACCAAATAGCTCTAAGCCTGATTGCTCTGATTGAGAATTTTAGAGGCCACTTTTCGCCAAAAAATGAAGACCGCTAGATGGCGCTGATCCAAATAATTATTTCAACTTACAGTAAAGCCGCTTTGTTGATTATAAACCAGCCGCAACTAATCATATAAATAGAAGATAAAAAGTTGACATTGTTTGTGCTGTTTGCGGCAAGTTTACAATTCATCTTTTACCCGAAAATTGGTCTTCAAAAGTATAGATATTCTACTTATCTTAGATGGCTTATAAAATCGACCATATTGCATACATGGCACTACTTAGTAGTCATTAGGTACTACAATTACTACACATAACTTTACGTATATCTTACACCGTGCTCTCTTGACCAGAATGATAGAATCAGAGGCTGTATTCCGCAACTGCTGCCAGCAGTTGAGTTAACGTGCATGTTTTTGTGCACTCATCCTTTTTTTGGTGCGCGCTTGTGCGCAAAATCTGACTACCCTTAGTGATTGTGATTAGTGTGCAGAGTTTCATCTCCTTATCTCTTACTTTGTGGATTTTATGTAGATGTCGTGACCGGGCTTCCGTACTATACGTATTTTTAGGTTAAAAGTGTTAAAAACAAAAAAAAAACTGCGAACATCTTCGTTTAAACTTTGACAGAATAAAGTAGTGAAAAGTAAGTTAAACTAGAGGAAAAGATCAATAAAGTATGACGTTTCAGCAGCCAAATTCTCGCGAACTCCAAAATCGGAAGATCCTAGAGGAACTTCAGCTGAAAAAACAGATGTTGCTCAAGCAAGGAGTGCAACAAAGTCTTGGCTCGTCGCTCAACATTCCATCGATCATCACATCCTCCGCTACATCCCAGCAATCTGGGGACGGGGCCAACATGACGTCGATGCAACGAGCCGCCCTCCTTAACGCCCACGCACATTCCACCGGCTATTTCATAACTCAGGAGTCCTCCTTTGGAAATCTTATCCTGCCAGTGCTACCGCGTTTTAACGAGACTAGTACTACGAAATAGTTGCAGTAACAGTACGACTCATTTGTAAATGGTTTAATTAACTTTGACGGACTAAAGATGTGGTTAGAGTTAACTGTGATATACTCATATAATGTACTGTTCAGCAGATTAAGATTTTTGGCAAGGACAAATTTATTAACGAGTCGTGCAAAATATAATTTTTATCATGAAGAAAGAGATACCTTAAATTATGAAATACACCTCTACTGATAAGCTACTGGGTTTTTATGAGAGATAACCAATATTTTTTGTTTAGTATTTAATTATCTTTTGTGAACTAAATTTTTAATATATATTGTAAATTATCGCAGCATAAACCTTCCAAGATAAATAAATCTAAGATAATTCTAATGCAGTAATATCAAAACTTCTTACTTATCTACGGTGTCCTCTTCGTCACTACTTGCTTCATGTGGGTTGTACACCATATTGATCCACTCCCTCTTTTTCAATTTAACATTCTGTTTAACTTTGTCCACTGTGTTCATTGCCATGTCAAATAAATTTTTCCTGTGAGAATCTGGAGTATTACATTTCAAATTTTCTAGACCCTCTGGTGGATTCATGATCATTGGATCATTGATATCTATTGTGGGTGTTTGAGGCTTTTTTTTAGTTTTACAAACCATTGGCCTAATTTAATTTTGAATAGAAATAACACTTGCTCAGCATAAACATAATTTTAATTATTTAATGGTAGCAAAATTTCTAGTGACTTACAGTATTGGAATGCATTTGGTAGTTGCCATTGCAACAGTGTTTGTAGCTATTGCTAAGGGCAGAAGTACATGGTTTGCCCCAGTCCTTGTACCACGTTTGCTACTAGTGCTAACTACTTTTCCCTTTGAAGGTATGTAAATGGAAGATAAATGCGTGGAACCTTTAAATAAAAACCGAAGAGATTAAGTTAAACTATATGAACATTAATTTACTTTCAAGTTCATACCTATGTCCGTCAGTCTATGCTCATGATTATCCCATCGTCCATAGCACAAATCGATACCACCGAGAAAAGCAATACTTTGGTCAACAACTACGATCTTTTCGTGATGCGCCCACAAAAGGACACCGACTCTCGCGTGATCTGGATGTCTTAATACTTTAATATTTTCCTGGCATTTTTCGACTAAACGCTGCTTGCTATAAAAACTATTTATCCCCAATGCCAGCTCTACCTCCTTGTAGATCATCACAAAGACCTTGACACCTGACAGCTTTGAATCAAATAAATTAAAAATTAATTGCGATCAATCAGTTTTATCGNAAAAATGCAAAAGCGCAATGTTATACGAGACACCAGAAATAAAAAGCGATTATGCAAAAAATATATACAATAAGCCTTTTGAGGTTTTATTCCATAAGTGTGCGCGCCTATATTGAGAAATTTCGATGAAATACTGTGTTAATCTCTACACGATTTATAATATAAAGATTTTATTATTATAATTTTTCTCGTAAGATTAGAAACAATTTTTTGTATAAAGAAATCAAATTGAATAAAAATTCTTTTTGCCGAAACAAACGTCATTTTTACCGATTCATCAGTACTGTGGCGCATCTTAACAATTAAGAACCAGATATACAATTAACAACTTAGAAGTCAAAGTAAGAAAAATTAATTAAAGGGACCTAAATTTATCAACTTCTTGTAAAATATAGACAACACATAATAGACTACGATTATTGAAACAGGAAAGACTCGCAACGAAGATCGTGTTTTTTGCATTTCCACGTGTAACACACATAATAGAAAAAAAAAAAAAAAAAAAATCAAGCCTATACTGCAGAATCGTGCACATACATATTAAAGCAAATGTGTGACACTCTTCGTTTGTAAATGTCGTTGAAAAAAAAATACGCAAGAAATAAAACAATTTTTTTTTTTTTATAGCATAACCAGTAAAAATTCAAATCAATGGACAAGAGAGGAAACTCGGTATGTAAATAATTGTAATATTTATCGAATACTAAAAAAAAAAAAACGAAAGATAGCGTGTAGAAAAATGACATCTCTATATACATTTTCAAGAATAATATAGTTTTAGTCATTGAGTTTTTAACTTTGAAGTATAATCGAAGATCGATCGAGTTTATGTAATTGAAGTGAGTAAAAAAACATAGATATGATAATAAACGATTTTTCCTAAATAAATAACGAATTGATGGTTCGCCAGAATCGTGTTTGTTTGTCGACTAAGGAAATGAACTTTCTTAAAAAATAAATTACAGTCAACGTAAAAATTTTTGTAAGGAGTTGAAAAAAACAATAAATAATCGTTATTGTGCGAGTAAATAATAAAATCTTACAAATAAATATTTGATAGCACGGCGAGCGTTACCTGCGCTCGTAGTTCATTTCGTTGTAAAATTAAGATAAAATAAGGAAAAAAAAAAGTTTAAAGGTGCATGCACAGTTCGATACATTGAACGCTGACGATATCAAGTTACATTCATTGTGATTTTGGATCATTAAGCATCGAAAAACTGTCACAACATTCTGATCATTTTACAATTTACATCAACGACATTATCAGATGTACAAACATATGTAGCACTGCCAATAAAACTTACCATTAATTATAATTAACAAACTGAAGGAAAATCTAAAATCTAGGTGAAAAAAAGGATATATTATAACAGCGAAAAAGTGTTGTTTCTCTCGAATGAAGTAGAATAAAAAAAAACTCGGGATCAACACGTGACTGCATAAAAGCAATTTGAACAGGCATAATGATAACGAAAACACGAATTTACATTAACCAAACAAGAGTAATAATAATAAAAAAAAAAAAAAAATTCCGATGTAGAAAAGATGTTGGATTTTACAAGATGATCGTAATAAACTCGATCACGAGCATAGCTCGCAAGATCAATTATATACACGTAATCGAGTTATCATCGTAGAAAATACACATAAAATTGTGCATAGAAATGTCAAGGGCGCACGACCAAAAAAAATTTAGAACAAAAATAAAAAAATCGCTCAAACGCGTGAGAGTGGAAAACATCGTTTTTTATTGTTTATAAATGAGAAAAATAATTTAAAATTAATGGTAATTTTGATAAATCCAATTCATCTCCCTTTATTCACGTATGCGTCTCATTTTATAAGTTAAATACTTATTTATGTAAATAAATTTCGAAAACCATTTTTTATACCAACTGGATTGTTGAATTCAACAGAAAAAAAAAAAAAAAAAAAAAAAAAAAAGAAATTGTTGACGAAATAATAAGATTTGGTATTAGATTGTACGAAATCGAGATGGTTAGGTGCAACCATTTCTGTCGAGTACAAGTAATAACAATAAAACAATTTATACATAAAATCCACTTTGTTTTGATACGTGATTTTTCCATCTATTTACGATGGTCAATTTAAAAGAAAAATTGAAGCATGTATAGTGTGCGAAAAACGACAGCAGAAAAGAAAATGTGGCCATATTTCATGCATTATAAGTTTGCATTTGTGCCTAAAATTTCACCCTCACTATGTGTCCATTAATTTTTTTTTCGTGAAAATCAAAAATATTGTGAAATTTTTTTTTTCACAAAAAATATTAAAAATATTGTGTATCTGCAAGAAAAGAACGTAAAAAAAAAAAAAGAGAAAAACGTCGAGATTTATTCCTGATGTACATGCGTATTATTAAAGCTTTGAGTGGGCGAAAAAGTTTGACTGTGAGCAAGCGGACTTGAAAATCATTTATTGGCTGATGGCGTCGGTGTAC